TGCTGGGGGGTGGGGGTGGGGAGTGGAGGATGGATGGGGTGGGCGGGAGGTGTTTGCTGAACCCTGTTCCCTTTGGGGGGCATGGGGAGGTGTTTGCTGGGCCCTGCTCCCTGTGGGGCGGGGGGAGGTGTTGGCCGGGCCCTGCTTCCTGCCGGGGGAGGTGTGAGCAGACAAGGAGCTCATGTCTCAGTGTGGACACTACAGGGAGAAGAGACAAAGGTGTCCCTGCCTTTCCTGTAGGATCCCCCTGGGCCCCTGTGAAGTGTTTCAGGTTCAGCTCAGAGGACTCCCATGTGCTGGGTTCACGAGGGAGGAGGAGGCAGATGACCATGGGTGGGCATGAGGCTGGGCCACTGGGGGCCTAGCTGGTTTCCTCCCTGGACCCGTCCCGGACAGTTTGTCCCTGATGTCTGAGCCCACCCCACCCGCCCAGACGTGCCGTACCTGCGCGTGTACTCCATGCACAGCTGTGCTCTGGAAAGAGTAGGGGCCTCGCCCCGAGAACCGCTGTCCGCCTGCTGCAGTGTCAAGAGTGCAGGCTATCGGGGCGGCACCCAGGCAGGGGCCCCTGGGGCAGAGGCGGTGATGCGGGTCTCCAGGAAACATTTTTCTCAACCAAAACCAGAAGGAAAGTGGGTTCTACGGCAGACACATCATCAGCGCGTGGGGCCTCTGTCCTGGGAGCCAATCTGCGCCCCACAGGAGGGCCTGCCTGGGCGGGAGGGCGCCAGGGGGCGGCCGGCCCCCAGACGTGCAGACGTGGCACACACCTTATGTCCTGGGTGTGGCCCAGCCCCTCCTGTGCCACCCAGCCTCCTCGCTGTGCGCCTGTTCTTGCACCCACTCAGGCAGCACCCCAGTGCTGCCATGAGCCCTGACCAGGGAGCCTTGGGCAGCCGGCCGGCCTCCTCGACACGGTCTTCTCGCTGCCTTCCTCTGTGAGGCCAGGGTTCGGACCCCCCTGCTCTGTGCTCACTGTCAGAACCCACCCTGCACCCAGCGCGCATCCTTCACGGCCGTCCTGCTGGGCCGGGCAGCAGCAAGGCATGACCTGAGCTGTCAGATGGCCCTCCCACAGGACCACAGGGTCCCTGCGAGGACAGCCGACCCCACTGTAACCTTCGCCCTTCACCCCACCCACAGGTGGCTACTTTTCCGGCGAGGACGCAGGCAGGATGATAGAGACCGCCATCTTGGACCTGTGTTCCCAGGTGAGGGTGGTCGCCTGTGCGCTGCCACACACTGCGTGCGTCCAGCCTTGACCACAGCAGGAGGACCATGGGGATCCAGGCTTTGGTCAGACGTTCACCCACACTCAGCTCACAGGGCTGCCTGCGGGCCACTGCACTGGGGCTTCTCTGGCCTCAGCTTTGGCTGCTCTCTCGCTCTGTCCCTGGTGTGCTGTGTCCTCACGCCGTGTCCCTGGTGTGCTGTGTGCTCAC